ACTCTCAAATCCAAATTAAAATGATGTATAAGGAAAGTTGAGAAGTACATACACTCACAAGAATAAGAACAAAAGGAGGAGGGAAAGAGCAAACGGTTTGGAAGCAGAAAACAGAGTAGTAATTGTCTTAGCAGAGTCAAGGAAGCAGGACCTACAGGAGCAGTTGGTAAAACAGAGGAGCAGCACAATTTACCCCACAGAATCCTTGAAAGACTCATAAACTTTGAGTCCTGAGTGAGTGTTGTTGATGGTGCAAGCCTACATCAGAGTTACTTAAAGAAAAATTGACTCAAAGTCTGCTTAAGAAGCAGGCCGAGCTCCACATTTTGTTCCCCACTTTGTACAGTGAGGCAGCTGTCCTTTTTGTAGCTCCACAGCACACTGGAGATTTGCATTTGAAGAAGGAAAAAGGAGCTTCTTGTTTGTGAACCATCAGGCACAGAACTCAATCTGACCACACAAGAAAAGACCTGGAACTGACAGGAGGAGCTTCCTGTCAGATGGCCTACAAGATGGATGGTTCCAGAGACTCAGTCAGCAAGGCCTGTCACTCAGAGCTTGGAGTAAGAGTCTCACTCTTAATCATAAACAGACAATTAACAAATGCTAGAAAAGTGAGACCAGCCCTCACACAGAAGATAGCAAAGCCAGTGAAGAGAAACAAAAGGAACACCAACAATAACTTAGAGGAAAAAGAAACTAAGCAGGGCATCAAAGACACTTAAAAATTGTCACAAGGACCCTCAGTCCCCATTCTGCCTTGTTGAGAATGTAAGGTGTTGAGAAGAGATGACACTGCATCTGTGACAAAAGGAACATTCAGAAAACAATCACAGAAGCAAACAGAAAATGCTCTTGGAAATTAAAAAAAATCGAGAATGCTAGAAGCCAGAACTGATAAACCCTCACCGCAGAAAGTAGAACAAAATTACAAAGAAATGAAGAACAAGAGAGAAAAGAAAATCATAAGAATAGTCTTAGAAGAACACGTCTGAAAACAGGAGTTTTTAGAAAGGGCAAACAGAGAAGACGGTTGGAAGAACTGACCCATGAGATGATTCAAGACATTTTCCCAGAAGTGGAGGTCCCAAATTTCCAGGTTCAAAGGACCCTGTACAAACTGAAAATAGACCCATACCAAGGAACATTATATAATTTCTCATTTTACTGGAGAAAAAAGGAGAAGATCCTACAGCTTCAGAGAAAAAACAAACAGGTCATATACAAAGGATCTGGAATGAGATGACATCTGATTTTTCAACAGCAACACTAGAAGTGAGAAGACAATTCTGAGGGAAAAATGCTTCCCAGTCTAGAAGTCTACAATAGTCTGCAGGCTACCAATCAGCGACTGGGGCAGAATAAAGTGATCTCAGTCACGCAAGGTCTCAAATCATTTATCTCCAAAGCAATGATGATGTTCTCTACTAAAACGAGAGAGGAAATGAAGGGAGTGTGTACAGTGGAAGGAAGGGAGGTTCTCCAGGATGACATGGGTGCTGTCACAGAGGAATGCCATTCAAGAAGGAAGTGTGCACAAGACACTGGTGTGCTGAGAACTGCCCATCACCCCATTCTCTGCCATCATGCTATTTTTCTAGTCTGAAGAAATTGTCAGAAGATGTCCTCTAACAAAACAAAGAAAGTGAAATTCTGAAAAAGGGAATCCTATCAGAACAAAGGGAATTCACAGATTAGCTGTGTCGTGGGTCTAGTGAGATAAAGAAATTAAGAGTCTGTAAAAAGGCTGTCTCCAAGAAAAAGAGTCTATATATTTTCCTTGTGAAAGTTGTACTGAGAGGGTTCTTAGAATATGGGGATAATTACCTGTATGTCCAAAGAAAGTAAGAAAGAGAAAAACAAAGCCAAAAAAATTAAAAGGCAATTATAAACTTTTAGGAAAAAATAAAAAGTGTAATCATGGTATCTGCAATGCTAGGCTATGAATTATAGATGCATTGGCATAGTGGTGAAAATATTGAATATTGGTCTAACATAACTACTATTTTGGGAGGATGGGTGAGGGAAAACAGATATGATGGTGATGTAAAGAAGGTAAGTCCTTGTCTACCAGAATGGGAAGCCAACAGAAATATCTAAAAGTGAAGCAGCAAAATACAGCAACAAGTAAGAATAACTATGAATTATGGCAAATGCTAGAGGAAAAATGATAAAAATGTCAAAAGAGATTGCTGATACTCAGTATTTTCATTATTGTAACAAATTACAAATATTGTTCACAGCCAAGCTGTGGAGTAGATGGCTCGGGGGAATGAACAGTAGACTGCAACTGGCCTAAGTGCTATTTGACTTTTTAATGTATGTGCACGTATCACCTTGAGGGGAAAATTATTTAAAAAGGAAGAGCTGGGTGGTGCTGCTGGCTCATGCGATCATCCTAGCTGCTGGGAAGGCTGAGATTGGAAGGATCCTGGCTCAAGGCTAGCCCGGGCAAAAAGTTATCGAGACTCCATCTCAACCAATAGCTGTGCACCTGTGGCTGAAATTGGGAGGATCGTGGTTCTAGGGCAGCCCAGACAAAAAAGTTTGTGAGTCCTCAGCTTAATGGAAAAGAGCTGGGTGTGGTGAAACGCATCTGTCCTTCTAGTGACAAAGGGAATAAAATAAGAGGATGGCAGTCCAGGCTAGCCTGTGCAGAAAGTAAGATCCTATCTCCACAATAACTGGAGCAAAAAAGGGCTCAAGGAGCAAAAAAGGGATAGTGCGCCTGCCTAGCAAAGTGCAAAGCCCTGAGTTCAAAACCCCAGTACTACAGCATCAAAAAAAAGTAAAGAGAAAAAGTAATATTAGAAATGAAAAAAAGGACATGATTATAGATATTAAAGGGCTGAATCATACGAAAGTTATATAAGTTCTTTGAAAAGTTTTAAGATGGTACATTTTAAAACAGCAAAATATTAATTTTTCTAGAAAGCATAATTTATCAGTCTGATGAAAGAAGAAACAGAAAGACGATAAAGATTTATAATAACTATAGTGAATGGATCAGGATTTTACAATCGGCCCACAAGTAACAATAACAAAACCAAAGCCAAACAAAAATAACCGTGATCCAAATAGTGTTACAGGAAAATTCTATCAAACTTCGATTTATTTATTTGGTGGTACTGGCGTTTGAACTCACAGCCTTATCCTTGCTAGGCAGGTGCTCTACCACTTGAGCCACACCTCCAGTCCTTTATCAAACTTTTAAGTAACATAATTCCAATTGATATAAAGTGTCCCAGAGAAATGTAAAAGGAGGGTCTATCCTCAACTCATTTCGTAGGTTTGGTAGAAACTTTGATAATAGATTCAGACAAAACCGGTGGCAGATAGGAAAATTATGAGATAATTTTACTTCATGAGTGTGAAGATTAAATCCTAAACAAAGTGTTAATAAACCTATTCAAGCAATTTTATTAAAAATATCATATGATAAATTCTGTTAACTCTAGGAATAAAAGGATTGTGTAAGAAAATCTGCAAATATGTTTCATTATCTTTAAGGCCCAGTGAAGAACATTTTGTACCCATTGTGACAAAAGTTCTTTGCAAGGAAAAAATAGGACTAGGAATGAATTTTCTATCTTCCTATCTATGAAAAACTAATTTTCAGTTTTTTGTTTTTTCAGATAGACTCTCTGTGTAGCCCAGGCTGGTCTCAAACTCGCCATTCTCCTTCCTCAACCTCCCAAGTGCTGGCATTACAACTGTGCATTGCCACACCTGAGTTAGGTATTATTATTTTGCTTGTTAGTTGGTTTTTGAGACAGGGTCTCACTATGTAGTCCAGGCTGAGCTTGAGCTTGCTGTGTAGCAGAGGTTGGCCTTGAACTAGATCTCCTAACCTTCATGCCTCAGCCTCCTGAGTGCTGGGATCACAGCACTGGTGTGTATTACTAGCTGTGATCTTTTTAATGACAAAAATGTTAGAAGTAATCCCTCCAAAGCTAGAGGAAAAAAGACAAGGTTGTCTCTTTTAAGAAGCTGACTCTGAATTCTATTAAATGTACATTCCATACCTCAAGTGCAACACTTCAATATGTTCCAATCAATTTACACGTATAAAATTGCTCCGTCCCTATTTTGAAAGTAAGTTCTGTGAAGACTCCTCACGCATTAAGCTTCTTTTGAAATTTCTATAGCGTTTTAGCATTATATTCAGCACAGCTTGGTGTATAGAAAGCATATTTGATTAAAGAGCATCAAGTAAGGTCTCCTGAAATGATTACCTGTCTAGAAAGTGCAAAGCCCTGAGTTCACCACCCCTCAAAAAAATCCAGTCACCAACAAAAATAAGTTTTCTATCTATAGAATTAATGATCTATGGTGTAGGAAACGTGAACAACTCAGAAAAGATAAAAAAGAAATTAAAAATAACCTCAACCTCTCTTGTCAGAGATAACCACTATTGACATTTGGAGTATTTTCTTTTCCTGTGCACATTTTAACAGAGCAGAGTTCATACTCCTTGTGTATAATTTTGAACCCTACTGGTTTCTTTTTATAGAAGCATTTCTTCATTACCATAATTTTTAGTGGTTACATGACATTAAATATCATAATTTGCCTAAACAATTCCCCACTGTTGGACTTTTTTTGGTCAGTTCTATAAATGACAATATTTTTGTGGCTACATATTTTTCTGTAGTTTAGATTATTTTCTTAGGATAGGCCATTACAGTGTCGGAGATAATTGTTTTCCTCCAGTCTTTATTGCATCCCTCAAAACACACTGATTTGTTTTTTTTCCCTCTTCCCACAACTTCTAGTTTAACTACAATGGAAAAAGTAGAGGAGATAGGGAAGAGGAAAAGAAACGAAGTGCACCACACTAGTTAGGCAGGAATCAAAGTCATGAAAACTGTCAGGTGAGTTTTTCCTCTCACCTGACTATACCCAGGGACTCCCCAGCCCCGCTTCTCCCTCTCCTGCCTTTCTCTAGCAGCTTCTTGTTTTTCCTCTGGAAAACCACTTGAGAAAAAGGAAATTCTTACCATAACATTTCTAAGTTCTTATATTTCGTCTCTGTGGAAGGCTGTTTGTGTTGCTTCTTGTTTTGGGTCAATCCCTGAACATTCACTTCATAAACAGACTGAGATCCTTTCTGGCTGAGGAGCATGTGTCTCTTAGGAAGCTCATTAAGGTTGTTCAAATCCATATTAGAAAGAGTGTAGATGGGTAGCTGCTGGTAGGGAAATCTTTTCTCTTCATCATGTCTGCATTCTCTTTCTTTATTAGAGTTTTTATATAGTACCTTGTCAAAAGCCTGATTTGGTAGAGCAAAGGTATTGGAAGTTACTTCAGGTTTCTGGCTCCCAAGTGCCCTAGAGTCTTGTAAGTCACTGTTAGAGGTACTCAGAAGCACAACTGGTCCATGTTCTTCTGAGGTTTCAAAAGGCTGATTTTGATGGTGCTGCTGTCCAGGAATGTGGTTCTGATTTCCTTGACGGACAGTGAGCTCTTCCATCCTGAAAGACCTCAGGTCATTCTGGCGTTTATGCTGTTTCCGACCCCTGGGCTTGGCTGGTCTTCTGGAAGGCTGCTGGCCATTAATTGTTTCAGAGGGTTGACCTCGTGGGACATTGCTTGATTTTGAGCCTTCATATTGAGACCAGTGTTCCTGGTAATTCTAAAAAGATATTATGGTTAAAATGTAAAAGTGGAAGATTGGCTTTCTTCATAAATTTTAAATTAATATTTTCTAAACTGGGAGTTGAAACTTCTAAGAAGGTGACCATGGGATTAATAGCAGATAGAGCAGCAGAGGAGAGCCTTTCTTAAATTCAGCCAATTGGAGTATGGATAGGTGAGGAAATTTTAGATTATGAGCCTATAAAGAGATTGAGAGTTTAGAACCTGCTTGGTATTAAAGACATGTCTTTAATTTATAATCTGGAAAGGGAAGTGTCACCAAATTGGTGGGGGAGGGGGACAGAGAGAAGCTTTATGGCCAAAGAGGTTCATAGAGAAAGGGAATATAAATCTACACCAAAATACCCAAGCTTATTTTAATAAGTGAGTATTTCAAAGATCCTAACCAGAAAACATCAGGGACTCGATTTTCCAAGCAAGTCCAAGTTTCATATGAAACACAGTTCAGATCATCAGCTCTTCTTACTCATATAGGTCAGAAGCTAGAATGACCTCTTCACCAGATGAAACAAATTAAATTTTATTCAGAGGATTATAAAAGAGCCCGAGCTGTGATAGGACATCCACAAGGGCTGTTTTCCTTCTGCTCCTTAATATAGCCTGTCCTTAGGCCATCAAACATCTGGGGGAAACGATTTCAATTTCAGAACAGTCTTTATGCTTTTCAAAGTCTAGTAACAACAAAATGTACTCTCTGTATAATAGATACACTATGTAACTATATTGTGCTAGAGCCATTTAGGCATGTTTTCCAAGGAATGGAGCAGTCATTGCTTTGTGAAAAACTAGCTGAGTTAAGAGGCCTTTGGAAAGAATGATTAAATGCTTTTTGAAAACAGTAAGATGGTTATATACATCAATGTGTCACATAACTGCAACACGAAAATTAAAAAAAAACTTTGATGGTCAGTATCTATGCAACATTAATTGGAAAATGTAACAATTAGCTGGGTCATTGGAGAAAAAAGCATCTTGAACTGAGAACCGCATGCTTTCTGCTCAAATCGTTTTAGCTTGTTACGAAGCATGATCTCATTACTATGATAAAATTTCAGCTTTTATTTCACTTTTTCTGATGCAATCCCTGAGACTCATTCTATTCCTATATAATATTAAGTGCTCTTCTAGTTCTAATGAAGGCACATTATAACCTTAAGGTTGAGGTTGTTAAATTTAAAACAGTAGTTATACAGAATTCCTTCTTATATCAGATTTTAAAGAATGATTTGAAATACAGAGTATACATATGTTCTTTTGGAATTTGAACTTTCTGTGGCCATGGGAGCCGTGCTATGATTACTTCTGATTTTTGAGGGATGGAGGGGCTGGGCATGGTGGTGTAATTCTATAATCCCCACTATGCAGGAGGCACAGATAGGATTGTGGTAGGAGAAGCATGGTTTGAGGCTGGCCCCAAGCAAAAAATGCAAGACCCTATTTGTAAAATAACTAAAAACAAAAGGGCTCAAGTGATGGTATAGAGAAAGCAAGGCCCTGAGTTCAAACCCCAACACCACAAAAAGAAAAATCCCTAAACAAACAAATAAAACCCCCCAGAACTTTCTTCTGCATTTGGGAAAGATAAAGTTCTTTGTCCCATGCAGTATATTGGGTTGCATGGGGAAAACGTGCAAGAAGGCTCTGCAAATATATGGCCCCAGAGCATCCACCCTTGTAGTGGATGCAGAAGACACTGCCATTGTACACTCTTATAGGTGTGTTCCGGAAACACAATTGTTCTTTTCATGGCTGTGGTCACTGTTTATGAAGGCCAAAAAAGCTATGATCTACGAATACTAATTAATGCTGACAATGTAATTTTTTTCAATATTTGTTGAGCCTCTAACTTTCTGGAGAAATAAATGGCTAGGAACTCTTTCTGCTGCCTCCTGACTGCAATTTTCCCAGTTTTCTTTCCTTAGCTCTACCAAGAAAGAGAAAGACTATCAGATATTTGTTCTTTTGTGCACCATTCTGAAGTCCTGGCCTACCACTTGGTCTCAGTCATGTCATTACCTCTGCTGCTGACAATTCAGATCACAATAGTCCTCTTCACAGGGTGCTTTGTCAACAAGGCCAAAGACTCATCATTTTATGAAACTTCAATTGTCTCGAGTACTAAATCCGCTATTCACGTTCAGGTAAGAGTGGGGAGAGACAACATTGCAGCCCCCAGAAAGGAAGACATTTATGAGCTTGATGTGCTTTCTCTCACCTTCCAAGCAGCCTACTTGAGATCTGTGGCTTACTGGAGATTTATTACCCTACAATTGAGGCATCAGGTGTTGCTCTTCGGGTGGTGATACCCAGTTCCCTGAAGTTAATACACAGAGCCATTCTCAGGCTGTTTAATCTCCATCAGTACTGAAATCCTCTATTTCATCCTGCTCTCTCTGGGGTTCTTTTGTTACCAACACTGGCAATCTGTGCATCTTATTTGCTTTCAGAATAACTGCTTAATGGCAGTAGGTGTTCATGTCACATGTCACCATGGAGTGCTAGCACCGGGAAGTCTCGATGCTTAACACAAGAACCATTCTTAGTCATTAATGTTTATTCATATTGCACTATTGGAGGGACATTTAGTCCCAATCCTGTGAAAGGCAGGCTCTGACTGGTTCTTCCGTTTACATGTCATAGGCTGAGGGCAAGAAGCATGCTCTGACCCTAAGCAGATCATTACTGTAACACAGAAGACACTCTTGCTCTTAGCTACCTTGACCAAGCCCTGGAGTCCCAAAAGTTGTATCTGGGGAAGTTTCTGTTGTGTTCTGTTTTTCTGTGGTAGTCATTAGTAATAAAATACAAGTCCTTTGAACTTAGAGCACAAATTCCATGTGATAATACAAAGGAAATTTGAAGCGCATATATGAATTGGCTCTAATTTTCACCAGTAAGTAAGGAGGGAAGAACTGTTCAGATGAATACAGCAGCATAGGTCATTGATGATGTTGGAGGCCAAACCAAAGTCATAAGTCTTTAGAAAGGTGGGGAGAATAGTGAGGAGATGATGACAAGGATTTTAACCTTGATAGTGAGAGGTCCTATGTGTCTTTTATACAGTCCTTACCTTTCTTTGTCTGGAAACTCAAGAACTATGGTAGAGTGGTAAGGCTCATCTAGTTGGGGACATTTCTCTTTTGCTATTGACAATAGGCTCCTCACCTGGTACTTTAAAAGGTGGGGCTTTGGAGGAGGTGATTAGGTCATGAGGGCAGAACCTTCCAGAATGGGATCAGTGCCCTTATAAAAGAGGCCCAAGGAAGCTCTTCTAACCCTTTCCGACAGTTATGACACAGTAAGAAGACACCGTCCATGAACCAGCAAGTGCTCAACAAACATTGAGCCTGGCAGCACTTGACTTTGGACTTAGTCCCCGCAAGTGTGAGGAATAACTTTCTGTTGCTTATAAGCTATGTAGTCTTACAATTTGTGTTATTGTGGCTTAGGCAGACTGGGACACCTAGGAGTTGTTTTTCTTTTGCCTATGGGGGTTGTGGTTTGCTCCCTTGCACTGCCCAGCACTGGTTCCGAGTAAGAAGTGTACACAGCCTGGGGATGCCACTGAAATAACCAAAACAAAATGGACTGGAAGCATGATTCAAGTGGTGGAGTGCCTTCTGTGCAAGCTCAAAGCCCTGAGCTCAAACCTCAGTTCCACCAAAAAAAATTTCCATAAGTTTTATTTTTTTGAAGAGTATTATAAATTATTATCATTTGTTTGGTTGGTTTTTAATTTAATTTAATTATAATTTATGATTTTTAAGACAGAGTCTTGTTATGTAACCCAGGCTGGGCTCAAACTGGTGATCCTCCTGCCTCCACCTCCCAAGTGCTGGGATTGCAGGCATGGACTACCATACTTAGCTCGGTTGGTTTTTAACTATATCTTTCAGGCCAGGCATCCAACCTGTAGTGCCTGAAATACAGTAGACACTCAATAAATGTCTATTGCATAACAGGCTCTATAGGCCTGGTGATTTCAAAGGTCATTCTTTCTTAAACAGGGATAAAACCTGGTCCTAGAGTGATTCCTCAAAACTCCACACACTGGCTCAGGGGACACTCAGCTGCTGCTGCCCTTTCTGCTTCTTCTAGAGAAACAGTCAGTGGGGACAATTTCAGAAATATTTTCCCCAAAATTATACTTAAGACTTCCAAGAAGTGAGCGCATGGACAAAAAGCATGCCATTATACTAAATTAGCAGTTGATAATTTTGTGTGTGTGTGTGGTACTGGGATTTGAACTTAGGTCCTACACCTTGAGCCCACCGTCTTTTTTTTGTGTGTGTTGGGTATTTTCAAGACAGAGTCTTGTGAACTATTTGCCCAGGCTGAACCAAGATCCTCTTGATCCCTGCCTCCTGAGTAGCTAGGATTATAGGTGTGAGCCATGGTGCCTTGCTTTTGTGAATGGGATTATTTGTTTTCCTTTGGGATTGAATTCTTTTTTTTTTTTTTTCTCTTGGAAGTACTGGAGTTTGGACTCAGGACCTCATGCTTGCTATGTAGGCACTCTACCACTTGAGCAACTCCACCATCCCTACCAGATATTAATTTTAGCATTTTACAAACGAGGGTTCAGTGAGGCTCTGGGGAGCCCCACCCATCTTTAGGAATACTGTCCTCATTACCTAGGAATAAGGTAATGACTGCCACAGGAATTGAAATTCTTCTTCCTGCTTTGTGCCATGCCTTCCTTCTGTGAGAGGTTTGAACACTGTGTGTTGGAAGTGTGACATAATGCTCTTCTAGAAAGTAGAACCTCTGGAAAAACACAGAGGGCTGCTGGCTGAGCAAACCCTGCTCCTCTGGCCAGAGCTTCTCCTCTGCACAGGCTGACAGGCAACTAAGCTCAGGCATAAAAATAAACCCTCGAGTGACAAGAAGTCAGTGACAAACATTACTTATATTCAGTGGTATCACTTGAAGCACACTTAACATGCAATCTCGAAAGTAACCTTTAGCTGTTGTGCTCTTTGATGCCATTTGTCCTCAGGATTGATGGCAGCATTTTCAATCTCTTTGGAATTCTGAGCGGTGGTCTTGCCAGTTACTCTGACGGGGTAGGAGATCTAAGAGGGTGAAACAGATAGAGCTTGTTAAGTGGGTCTGTGCTAGCCCAAGAGTCATGGGGTACAAGCCTGTGTACTCTAGAAAGAGAAGCTGTAAGGGTAAGTTTTATGGTTAGTTTATTTCAAGGATTCATCTCTTTAGTCCTTAGGGACTGTGTTAATCAACTTTCCATCACTGTGACAAAATACTTGAAATAAAAAACTTAAAAGGAGGAAAGATGTATTTTGGCTCATGGTTTCAGATGTTTCAATCTGTGGTCACTTGCTCTATGTTTTTGTGCCTGTGGCAAAGCAGAGCATCATAGGGGGAGCATGTTGGTAAAGCAAAACTGCTCACCTCGTGGTAGACAGGAAGCAAAGAGAGACAGAGGAAGGGCCCTGGTCCCAATGCCCCTTCAAGGGCATGCCCCAACAAGGCTCCAGCTCCAAAACTTACCACCATGTCCCAACAGTGCCATCAGCTGGAGACCAACTCTTCCACACATGTGCTTTTGGGGGAAATGGAAGATACAAACCCTAACAGGGACCTGGATTGTTCCCAAGGAAAATGGGAATAAACAATGATTTTTCTTGCAGGTATGAAGGAAGAATTGGTGATCTGAGGTCAGACTACAACTTACTTGAAATGCTAGATACTCATGAAACCCAATTTTAGAACAGGTATTTGAACACGTAGCATTTGATAATATCAACAGAAAGATGATAAAATAACACTATGCAATAGGAAAAGGGGAACAGGAATTAGAGAAAAGGTTAGATCAAAAAGAATTAACCTAGAAGGAAATCAATGTGAGTCAATGCCCTGTATAGCTATCCTTATCTCAACCAGCAAAAACCCTTGTTCCTTCCTATTATTGCTTATACTCTCTCTTCAACAAAATTGGAAATAAGGGCAAAATAGTTTCTGCTGGGTATTGAGGTGGGGGGAGAGGGAGGGGGCGGAGTGGGTGGTAAGGGAGGGGGTGGGGACAAGGGGGAGAAATGACCCAAGCCTTGTATGCACATATGAATAAAAAAAAAACACTATGCAAATACTCCTTGACTTATGATGGGGATATAACCTGATAAGCCCCTAAGTTGAAAATGTATTTAAAGCACTTAATCTACTGAACATCATAGCTCAGCCTCACCTACTTACGTGTGTTCACACAGTTAGGCTAAGCCATCTAACAAAGCCAGGTGTGGTGGTGCACGTCTACAATCCCAGAACTTGGGAGGCTGAGGCAGGGAGGTTGCCTGGGCAACTCCAAGGCCAGTATGGGCTACATAACAAGACCCTGCTTAAACAGAAAAAGCCTGTTTTGTAATAAAGCATTGAATATCTTTGTGTAAATTTTTGTATATTGTACTGAAAGTAAAAGAAAAAAATAGTTGTATGGATATACTATTGCACTATCAGAAACTGTAGGTCGGGACCTCTGTACCCCAAGACAGTGACAACAACAAAAATAACAATATTTACTATAAACAGATTGTTCTAGTATGGCAGCAGCTGTCCTTGGGCCTTAACACATAATGTATCACTTCTCCTCACAACAACCTTCCCAGGAATGTGCTATTATTATTCCCTCTTTGAAAATGAGAAAATGAATGTACAGAGAGGTTAAGTAACCTGCCTAGGATCAACAGCTAGTACGGACAGGACCAGGGCAGTCTAATTTTAGGGCCTGCACACATTTAACCATTTTGCTTACTAGAAATATCATCCTAGACCTAGAACCTGTAGCTTTGGTACTCACTGAATTTGAATGATGTGGATCAGCGCCTCTCAACTTTAGTTAGATGTTAGAAAAATTAATGCCCTGGTTCCACCTCAAGCCAATTAAGTCAGAAGCCCTGGAGGGGGGGGGTGACCCCAGTTATCACTACATTTTAAAAGCTCCTTGTCTGTTATTTTTAAAAAGAAAAAATATTTAAAAGGTCTCCCAGTAGGTCTAATCTGCAGCCATATTTGGGAACAAACGATGAAGGCAGGTAGCTACATAGGATTAATATTCCCAAATTACTCTATGAAGGACCCTTCATTGGCTCCCTATTTTAAATCAAGAAATGAGTGTCTGTGCGAAGTGGAATTCCAGCCATCAGGACACAGTGGAAAAAGCAAATGTAAAACTATGAGATCCTACTGTGGGAAGAGATCCTGGAGGTGCCTGGTGCAACCTCCACTCCAGGACATCCACATCAACCCTGCTGGATGTTTGTCCACTCTCTACCTTCACACCGGCCCCATCTCCTGGCAGGTGGTGCCTATTTGTGACTATGGGGATATGTTTACAGATCTTCCATGGGTTAAGGAGAAAAGGGATCTCTTTCTCATGCATGAAGAACATAGTGTTCCTCCACTGAGCAAATGCCAGAAAGCTCTTCCTCTGCCTTCCCATATTTTCTGACCCTCTGCTTTCTGGAGTAACACAGAGTAGGTGAATCCCTTTGTCAGACCACAGCTGTACACTGGCAACCACATAGGAGGGACTCAAGTGTCCCTCCTATGCCTTTTCTTAGAGGATCTGTCTCAAGATTTCTGTGCCATCCCTCCTGTGACAGTGACTCAGGTTGGGCCCATGTGGCCACTGTCTGCTTCCTTACCTGTATAAATGCTGTCAAGTGTCTCCCTTTCCGAACGGATGAAATTACTTTTTAAATTTTGCTTTAGGGTTTTGAACTTTTTTTAAAGTTTCTGCTGGTGGACTGTGCAGTGTGGGTAGCAGCCAGGTCTAAGATTGGTAAGACCATGGGATTTGGAATTGATCAAGCTTGAATTCAAATTCCCCCTCTGCTGCTTGCTTTTACTAATGGAACCTCTTATTCAATATGCAAAAAGGTTCAAGGATTAGTTAAATATTAAGGGATAAGTAAATAATTATCAATGAAGGTAATCTTGCTCCTCACCATTCACTGTGGCTTTTCTGTCGCACAAGAGACGCCATTGTCTTGCCTTACTTTGAGTGTAACCTTGTCTGTCTCTAAACAGTTACTGCCAGCTCCATTGAAATGACTATCATGATTACCACACACATATACCATAATAGATAAGGAAGATAGTTGTTGAAGTTTAAACACTTAAAGGGAAAAAATAAAGTGTTTTTGCTTGACTTTTCATTCCTAAAATAAGGAAACAAAAGTGTACTATTGATCATGGAATTCTGGTTATGGCAGAAGTAATCACCAGGGTTTGAATGATTAGTCCTCTGCCAGTGGAAAATTTCACATCATGGGACAGTCTGACTTATGCTATAATAAAACATTTGGAACTATAAATGATGCCAGGTCAGGAGCCATTTCCCACCTTTCCCATACTGCTGGTTCCAGAAATACCTCTGATTACAAAACATTTGGTTTTACATTTGCTGACTGTTACTGCAAAGGCTTTGCTCCCATACTACTATGATGTTAAACAGTTACATCCCTCATTTAAAAGAAAAATCAACCCTGCTCTGGAGGAGGAATGAAGGTCAAGAGAGGGAAAAATACAAGTAGTTAAAAGCAGGCAAAGAAATAATCCTTTTCCAACCTCATAGGAGCTGAGAACGGTCCCTGTTATGCAGGTGCTTTACCACTTGAGCCCCTCCACCAGCCCATGGACCATCCTCTGGAGGTGGGAGAGGAGAGAGAAGTTGAGCTCTTCCATGTACCTGCCACTAGGATGTGACTGCCTGATTTTCATAAACGTCTAAGAAAAAAAGGGGACTTGGTTTTAGTTAATTCAGTTTATCATTGGTGATATTAATTTGCCCATTAACAATGACAGGAGCTCTTATATAGTTTTGATATAAAGTTTACAAGTTAAAAATACAGTGCCCGTTGCTTCCTTGGCCAGGCAGCAAAGGATGTGATATTTCCTTCCTCAGTCTGTTTTGGTGGAGCTCAGTGGCTCAATCCCTCAGACAGACTCGCTGGGCCAGGAAAGCATACTTCTACATTATCTCTTTGAAAGTGGAATGGGACACAACCTCTGCCAGCTATTTTTTTTTTTTTTTTGTGAACCATTCTATTAATACCAATCAAATCGAGAAAATGATCAAATGAAATTGCATTTTGAGCATCATAAGCTGTGTAATGTCTATTCTGTTAAATTGAGGCCTATAATTGCTTCTCTACTGAAAAGATACAACAAAGACAGCAATCATGGGATGTCATTATCCCAGACTAGAAAACCGGCCTTTGCAGGGAGGACTTCAAAGGCTTGTGGTTCTCGAATTGCATTTGGCTGCCATTGTTGAAGTCCAGGCAATCTTGATTAGGTGTTTACACTGAGGTAAGGCGCAGAGCAGAGAGTCTGAGTGCCTGGGTCTAGAGCCATTAAAAAATTGTACATTATGTTCCTTGCTTTGAAGTGAGGGTTTGTAGGTAGAAAAGCAACTCAGATTGAGTACAGCTGAGCTAGACTGGGCTGCTACTTCACTCTCAAAGAAACTCAGGTTCTTAGAGAATCAGACAGCACCACAGAAAACAAAGTTCATGCTTTGCCCAGGGCTGCTGTGTGAATTACAGATCTGCATAGACACATGGTAAAACTTTCTCCAAAATGGGCATTCACAGAAAACTGCAATCGCTGGAGGCCTGGGCCCCTTTTCCCTTTTTAATTCTGTCTTTACAACTGACCTTATGTTACATGTGATGGGAAGCCTGCATTAACTCAGTAGGTTCTTTGTTATCCTCATTCCTTGATGGTATTTGTTGACAACTAGCATGTGCCCCAAATAAATAAGCCAAAGTGTCTGACACCATTCCAGCACGTCCATTGTTTAGCCTCTGCTTTTGGACATAATCACCCGACTCAGTGAGCATTTCCTTATTCTCTTGGCTGATGAGTGATGGGAAGCATTTATTTGTCCTATTTCTAATACATTCGCTATATGTTGGTGTATGCCTGTGGAGTAAAGTCAACAGTGCTGCCATTTGGATTTACATGGTCAGTGAAAGAGGCCACATACACAAGTACTCTACATTGTCGGGCAGCCTCATTGATTTAATTACTGAGGAGTATGTAGTATTCAACT